CCACGGATTTGAGGACCAAAGAAGAAGCAGATTAAATGTCAACTTTATTCAACGTCTCTTTAATCTTGGCACCATCAGAAGGGTACGCCTCTAAATGGGTGATGAAATCAACATGGAAGAACACGGTTTTGAGACGATTAAGAACTTCTTCTTGAGTTTCAAGAGAAGAGATGCCTCCAGATGCAGTAGAAGTGCTGGAGCATCCATCAGTCGAACGGTTCCTAGCATTTACCAAAAATTTCAAGTACTCAAAGGGGTTGTTTTTCCTTAGAGCGATAACTTGTTGGGGAGACATGGTGGTGGTTGCAGGAATCACGTTGGGAGGGGTCAAAATGGTTCCAAAAGAGGTAGTTGCTTGAGGAGTCACTTATTTTGTTTGGGAAGGATTTTGTTGGTAGTTGTGGTAACATCAACAACAATAGCATGTTCAAGACCCTTTAGGCCATCATTTCATGTATCCTCCCCTAGAATTTCATTATTGTCGTCATCCTTCAATCCTTCACTAATGGGAGAATATTCAGAAGTATCCTGAGTGACAGGAGAGTTGAGGTCACTCCCAGAAGGCTCACTATCAGTCAAGACCATGGTTAAATTCTTTTTGGTCTTGGAAGATTTCAAGACAATCTTGGTGGGGCATTTTTTAGGTTTAACTGTCAGTCGCTGAAACAATAAAAGCAAGTAACAACAAATCATAAAAGGGAAAAAATACATAAGGTAAAGAGTCTTTGGAAGAAGAAGGTACCTGATGGTCCCCTTCAGGACTAGAGTTAGTGCTCTCTGGTCGAGTTGGTGCAAGCTGCAAAACTCGTTCTTTTGCCACTAGCGAAGTAGGCGCGGTAATAGAAGTGGTCCTTTTTAGGTAAACCTCAGTGCAAGTGGACTGAGATTTTTTAGGAATGGCAAGCAAAGACGCGTCGTCAACTCGTTTCTCTTTACTAGAAGAGTGTTTCCGTATCTATGGGGATGGTTCAGGAAGGACGACAACATTGGCTTCAGGGGACTACAAATGGGTCAGCATAATCAGTGTATTAGAAAAGGAATGCAATTCGTTAGTAAATCATCAAGTTAGTATATTACCTGAGAAGAAGTTCTAACAACTTCATTAGCAAAGGGAGAAACAGTCGCGCCACTGGTGGATCCCCTAGTCTACTTCTTGTGTTCAACAACTTGATAAGGTGGTAACAGTAAGACAAAGCAGTAAAAGCCAAAAGCATAAAACTAACAATAGGTTTATCGACAGTTTAGACGTACCTTTTTTGAACTTTTGCGGCATATCGTTAAAGGCATGAGTCAATCGAGCCTTGAAAGATTTGAGAGTCCCATTACTTTGCACGAATTACACAGTCCACCAATCATAGAACTCCTTGGTGGTATAGAAGAGGGGTTAGAAGGCGACAAGAGTCATAGTGGAGATATCAGCAGTAAAATGTTGAAGACGTTAAGCACATTCGTCCTCACTATAGCTAGTCGACCAGGGACACAGTTCATCTGATGGCTTATAAAAGCTTAGAGGCAAAGGTTGGCACAAGCCAAACTGCCTAGCCACCAGATTAGGTTGATAACACAGGAGTGTTACGCCATCATTAGCTCCTACCCTAGATGCTAAGAGCCTAGAAGTTAAAAAAGCTTGCCAGATGGCTTTGGATTCAGGGATTTGTGTAGGATCAAAGGGAGGAAATGGTCAAGTGAACCACTCAGAACCATGTTGTTTGGAAGTAAAGAGAGCCATGCTTGGCTGAAAAGAAGTGCAACTAAAGAAAAAATTTAGGTATTTTTCAGGCGAATCCTCTAGAGTCATGTCATTATTGGAAGGTGACATCGCAGCAAGACAAAGGCTTTTGTTGGCACGCTGGGCAAATGGAGTCTCTTGTGCTTCAAAAAGTCACAGTTTGAGTTGGCTCGCAAAATTGGCGTTTAACCATAATTGAAGCAGCCAAAAAGGCCCAGCAAGATGATAGCTAATAGTAGGAGAGAGTGAGGTCATATGGTTGACCCCCACGCTAAGTGATTCATAAAGAGACCCCAAAATAAGTTCTCTCGGGCATATGTCTCGATCCAGATGAAGGTGGTAAGATAATGCAATAAATTGTTTAGCTACCTTCAAAGATCGACTGCAGAATACATACTTGGAAAGCCACAAGGCCAAGAAAGAAACGTGCTCTTTGTCAGACACAACGTCGACATCTTTAGCATGAAAACGCTCCATATATTTGGTGAAGCCAATAATGTCCTTCTCAAAAGGGATGTCATTTTCATCGACTTCAGTAGGAAGGAAAACTTCACCTGTGGGGCGGAGACCAGAGATGGCCACAATGTCAAACAAGGTAGGAGTAAGCATACCAGTTGCAAAATGGAAGGTGTTTGTGGAGCCTTCCCAGAAGTAAAGTGTAGAAATCAGCATATAATAACAATAGTTAGGGCTAACCCTAGATAGCTGAATCAAGTCAAAGATTCCTTGGGCCTTCCAAATGTCACCTTTAACTTTCTCTACTTTATTCAACCATGCAATGTAATCTTGGTTGACAGCAGGAGCAAAATGGAAGACTTTAGATGTCCGGTAAATGTGTGAAAAATCTATGGGGCGATCTCTATTGATAGGAGGTTTCATAGTTTTGTGAGTGGGGAACCAGCTTTCCAATGATTTGGTTGCTCTGATCTCATCAAGAATATGTCCCAATAGAGCGTAAGCAATTTTGTTACAGATGAAGAGGAGCAACAACTAGGAACGAAAGGTTTGGAGATTTTGTGTCGGCGTTGGTTCCAAAACAAAGGTATTTTGATCATGAACGAAGAACTCACTCATATTAGAAATCACTTCAATTTCCTGGGGAGTTGGAATGTGTTTAGAGAGTTGGCTTGAAGTGGCCATAGAGATGGTTGAAAGTTTTTCTAGGTAAAAATGAAAGCAAGAACTTCTTAATGGAGAGCCTAAGTATGCAAAAAGAACATAAAAAGGAAATTGAAGGGATGAAAGGGGTATTTATACCATCAAGAAAACCAAACGTTTGGGAAGAAAGTGGGAAAATGTGGCTACACGACCAAGCACGTGTTAGGCAGGTGGAGATTGATTGGAGAAGTTGGTGAGTTAGGGGCCACGTTTATCTTAGAAAGTTGAAGCTAAAAAGTAGGGAAGTGGCTGGGTGATCGCAGACGTAACTTTTGAGTGAAAAGGTCATAATTACGATGACGTCACTTTGCACTAAGAGAAGAGGATTAAAATATTTGTTTTTGTTCTTTCAGTCGAAAAGGACATTTTGAAGGGAAATTTGTTGGTTAAGATTTTTCACACAAATTAAAATCCAACCAAAAGCCAAAAAGGTGCTTTGAGAATTTTGAATTATGAGAAGTCGACCACAGAAGCAGTCGATCGGGAGAGATTTTTTAAGTAGTCAATTGGATTTGTGGACGCAGTCGACTAGAAAGAGGCCTCATGAGGCATGGATTGGGCCCAAGAATGTTAAAAAGCCCAAAGAGTGCATAAATAGAAAAGCAAAATGTTATGAATGGAGAACGTGAGTTCGATAGCAGGAATGGAGAACGTGGGATCATGGAGAGAAGTTACCAGAGACACATGGCGTACAAGGAAGCGAAGCCCGCCAGAAAGTAGTTAGTTTTCATGTATTATAAATAGAGCACTTAGTGCATAGTGTAAGAGGTTCAAACTTTCACATTCTTATACGCTAGTCACTCAGAGTACCCAAGCGAACAAGCAAAGTGAGTCAAGCTAGGGCAATGTACGTTTGAATCAATCTATTTTCAACTTTTTTGATGTTATGTCATTTATATTTACAGTTTAAAACGTCTTTTGTATTGTTTTACAAGTCTTGCTTTATTGCTTATAAACTCGTTTGACACTAGTCGAACGAATCTTTTTGAACATATTTTATGAAAACACTCGAAAACTGAAGCACACTACTGAGATTCCCTAGTCGATCTCACTAATAAATTTTTTATTAAGAGACCAGCGTTGTTTACCAAAAAATAAACACATGTTTAATTATTTATTCTAAATTAAAATAAATTATATTATATTTAATTTGTTTCTAGATAATTTTTAATTTTACATTTCAATAGAAAGAGAATAAATTTAATAAGTATTAAAAATATTTTAATTTTATTACCTATTTTATTTTAAATTATTTTATAATACATTAGTCCGAATCATCATATAATACAAAATAAAACCCTTTATCCAATAACAACCAAAGCTCAAACAACACCAAATGAGAGCTGATCCAAATGAACTATGCGTGGCAGCATGAGGGACGCTTGATTTTCTGGTCAATAAGACATAATGGCATCTAGGGCGTACACGTGGCAAGGAAAATAAGATCAGAAAGAAAAAAAGAAATAGCTATAACACGTGAAAATAACCGAATTTAATTATATTTTGAAAAAAATTATGTTTAAGATAAATTTACGCAAATAACCATATTTTAAAAAAAAGTGAACTGTAATATATTTTTCAAATTTTTTTAATTATTTATAAATTTTCCTGCGAATTTGATATTATCTGTGAATTTATCTATGAAATTTTTTACTGTGAAAAAATATAGATAAATCTGTAAGAAAATTCACAGATAAATAAAAAAATTGAAAAAAAATTTAATAAATGGTTAGGCGTCATCTCACTTGAGTCTACTTTAAAAAAATATATACATACGCCATTTGAAATAACTATTGTATCATAATATTTTCTAAAACATGATTATTTACGTAAATTTTTCTGAACTATAGTTATTTGTGTATTTTTTTTTTAAATATAATTATTGTTAAAAAAAATTCAAACGTACAACCGTCCCCCTCTACTTCTCACGACCGCCATGGATGGATTTTCGAGCTTACACAAAAATATTAACCAAACCTCAACATACAACATAGCATACGACTCGTCTATCCGTCCTCTATTGAAATCTAGCGCTCAAACTTTCCAAAACAACGTCATCAATATTTAATTTCGATTTGAAAGGAGAATTCCTAGGTCGTAAAAATGAAATTAAATGGTGGCTGTTCGGATGCCGGCGAGAATTCGATTCAGGTAAGCTTTCTTCTACTTCTTTATTGATCCAAAAATTCCTCTGGTTGGTTGTTGTCCTACGTTTCGAAACCGCAAGTTGATGGTGTTATCGCCAACGTCGACGTTGCTTTGCAGTTGAATTGAGATTGGAGGTTGAATTGTTGCAACGTGTTGCAGGTTGCAAGTGGAGTGGTGGCAGAAGAACATCATTTATCATGTTCGAAGGCTTTGGCTTACCATTGGTACACGTTTTGGAAATCGTAAAATTGGTTAGTAACACGTTTTGGTTTCAGTTTTGTGGAGTTTTCAATTATGCATATCATGTGTTTGTTTTATTGTTTCAATGACATGTTTGATTTTTCCACACACTGCTTTCTATTTTGTTAATAATTATAACTTTCAGGTAGCAATTTGGCGTGATTCTGTGCGAAGAATTTGTCCTGCTATAGTTAAGAAAAAAATTTCTTTTTCATAGGGACCCCCTTATGTTAGTGGATACATGATGGTAGGGTCTCAAATTTAGGACAAAACATAAGATATGTCTTTATAAACTTAGCTGGCAATAACTTATAAAATTAGGAAGGAAGAGTGAAGAGTGAGTATGGAAATGAAATGGGATAAGAACAAACAATGAGGGGGAGAAGAGTGGGGTCTACATTTGATTGTCATAAGACTGACTACATGAACTGCTTAAAATGATTGCCTCAAATAATTTTGATTGATGAATTTATTTTGGGAATGATATGTGCAACCCTTAGTTTATGTACTGTTCTGTTACTTAACACCCTTACTTATTTGAGGAGTTATACCTAATTTGTTTAAGGGTGCTCCATTTTCTTTTGCGAATTACTAAACAAGGGAGTTGTAGTTTCTTAAATAAGAAGGGGGTAAGGTGACTGTAATATAAATTGCTAACATCCGAATGGTTATTGTGACCACGCTTTTATTTTTTATTCTAAGATGAATGACTTTTTTCCGCCCACTAATAGCATTTGGATTCTTACAAGTTTTCTTCCTTTTTCATAAGAATCATAACCAGCTCTTTTCATTTGACTAAGTTTTTTCCTTCACTAATTGACAAACATGAAAAATATCTTAGAAATTGATCCCTCAAATGATCTAGCTGGGAAATCCATTCGCCGGCTAGAGACCCTTGCTGCAGTAAAACGGGAAAAGATGAAGGAAGAAATGATTGGTGAGTCTTTTTCTCTTATTGTTTTTCAAATATTTATAATGTGCTTTATTGATATTTTTTGTATGGTGGTTTGTGGCCATTCTTTAATTGCGTTTGATATTTCCTTCATTGTTAAATGTTTGTTTTTTTACACCATACTGTTTAATGTCAAGAGAGATGATTTAAACTCATTCTCATGTCTTCATCAAACAATTCAAGCTTCAGATGGATGTTCTTGACATGGTATCACAACCTCAATATTTTTTCATCTCTATTCTTCAAATAGTTGTTGAGTTTCAGCTCAATGTAGATGAGACGTGTGATTGCCAAACAATATAGGTGGCGGAGTTCTAAATTTTAATTCTAGTTTCGGTTTGAAGTTTTCTCTATTCATCAGTTTAGTATTATTGATTCAATGAATCAGAACATTGCTGCAAAATCAAGTAATTTATTACATCCATCAATAGTAGAGTTTAACTTTGATCATTGTTTGTGTTCACTAAAAAAATAATATAATGGACTGTTTATTGTGAAGGCTGCTTCTGGTTCTATACCAAGTGGAGAGACATATAGCTCTGTTGTCGAGGAGGTGGAAAGTCTGAGACATACAGTATTTGAGATCTAGGTTGAAGTTATATTGTAACCATAACCTAATAATATATTGAGATTCACCTTAAGTTTGAATAAATTCCAGTTATGGAAATAAATTTGATGAATAGGAAAACTAGAGTCTCAATTTTATCAATTAAATTTAGTTTTTTTTTTAATTTTGAAATATATTAGATGCGGAATTACCTGCGGATTTCGTTTCCTGCGGATTTGCCTGTGGATATGGTTCTTATGGAATTACCTGCGGATATTGGAGATCAGAAACGTCAGAAATAAGATCCGCAACTAAATCCGTAGGAAAATAGAATATTTCTAGTATTGTCAACCAAAAGAGTTGTCACCTTAAAAATAACTGATACTTTGTATAAAATCGTCCATCAAAATATTATTGATTATTTTCATTACATTAAATATACTCTGTCCATATATATATATATATATTAGCTATGTTAATATTTTAATAGGCATTACTCACAAACCTCAATTAATAGAGCTTTACGGTATATATCAGGGGCATAATCACTCCATACTTGAGAATTCTTTAACTCTTTATCAATGTTCATAATAATCAGACAATTCAAGGCTCCTGGCTTATTACTCAGAAGGATATTTGTGGATTTTTTGAATATTTTATATTTTTTATATTTGTAATATATTTCTATAATAGATTTCAGTAAAATGATCTTAATTTTATTATTAAAATAAATATAAATAATTTTTTTTCAAAATATTGTACAATCCAAATATGTTGCCTATTTATAGAATTTCACTTTTATTACTCTTATAATTATAAGTAATGTTTACTCTATAAGATGGATGGAGTATTTAGTACATGTATATAGTAGAACAATAATGGATATTTAAAATAGGTTATCAACATTAATTTTAGTATCAATATTTCTTAATATAAAGAGGGTTAAGTAAATTTTTAGTACCTCTAAATATCTCAAATTTTGTTTTTAGTTTCTCTAAAATGTTCGGTTAAAGAATGGTCCTCTTAAAAATTAAATTTTAACTTTTGATGCCTCCTACAATTTAGCGACGATTTTTATAATTTAGCGACGATTTTAACGATGATTTTAACGACAGTTTTTGTTTAGCGATGGAATCAGAGACTATTTTAAGTACGATTTTGTTAGGAGAGACCAAAAGTTAAAATTTAATTTTTTAGGAGAAATATTTTTTGAAGGAAAAATTTAGAAGGACTAAAAATAAAATTTAAAGTATTTAGAAGAACTAAAAACTTATTTAACCTATATAGATAAAATAGATTATGGAGCTTATATATAATCATCCAAAATTCATTTAACTAATATTCACTTTATTAGAAAATAAAATAGGAATATTAATTGGAGCTGATATGTTTTAGACTTTTAGTGCAATTTAGTTTGAATTCAGTTTTGTAAAATTTATTTGTATATCGGAAGGAGGCCCGACTTTTATTATTATTGGAAAGACAACAACATTTATTTTTCAAAGTGATTATGTGCGCCGCTTATAATGTGTGTATATTATTATTATTATGCATGACAGTAATTCTTTTTCCAATGTCTATTGGAACCAATGTTTTAGTTTTAAAATGTTTCATTTATTTTAATTTTAATTGTAACAAGACCTTCACTTGTTTTGTTGACTTGTCATATTTTATTGACTGTCCAGTGTTGTCTCCAGTGAGAAGTATAAGTATAAATTGTCTGCAAATATTATCATGCTGGACATTAGAACAACATAAGTATAAGTGTAAGAATCACGCTTTGCACAAAAACAACTTATTAATCCTTTGATGCTTATTTCATAAAAAATATTCCTACACAATAGCAATGTTGTTTTATAAAACACATACATAGTTAAATTGGTGAAGTAAATCACATCTTCATATTCACTGATATTCATGTCATTGGTGAAGTGAAATGGATGTTCTTCTTCTGTTCAACTATTGATGCATTAACGTTTTCATTATAAGCAACCAATCAACTATTTAGAAGAAATCAATGACATGTTAGACCATAGGAAATCATAAAATTAGTGTTAGTTTGAGATTCAGAAGAAAACAATCTATCAGTATAATGCTTGATCACGAATGTTAATTTGAAATCAGACGGTTGAGATTGAAATCTACATGATGCAGATAATGCACTAAGTTCAAATCTAAACGCTAAGATCTGCGACATTAAATCTAATATAGACAACAATCTAGTTTAGGAAGTCTTGCCTGGGTGTAGTCTTATAAATTTCCACCTCTATCTATATCTTAAAATCAAGTTTAGAAGTATATTGATCCAAGAATACCTATAACTCCTGCACATTAGAAAAAGAAAACGAATTCAACTAACATCAAATTAATATTAATTTTTGCAAATCTACCAACAAAATAGCTTATTTCTCTTCAAAATAGTTTATAAATAAGCATTTAATCAAACTCAACAAAAAAACTTACTTAGATTCTTAATCAAACAAACCCTAAAACTTATATTTAGATTTTCAAGAATTAAAAAAAATGAAAACACCTTTTTGCACATAATATTTAGGTAATAAAAATCAAATCACACATAATACAGTCTAGAACCAAACAATTAGAGTACCTTCTACATCTTAAAAATAGACAAAAGTCATTATTTACACTAATTAATTAATAAAAAATATTAAAAAATGCTTAAAATAAGTGCTTCATCTTGATCATAAACACATCTATTTTACAGATAATAAGATCAAAGAAAATCGTTAGAAACTTCAATTACGAAGAAAGAGAAAGAAAAGAAATTGACCATAGTTGATATGTGGAAGTAGAGGAGGAAACATAGGAAAAATCTTTAGATCAAAGAAACGAGAACGCAAATGTTGGTTTGGATAGCGTTGAGTTGAGTCAATAAAAAAAATAAAGATGAAAACAATACCTATTTGTTGTGGAGCCTGAAGTTTGGAGTATGAGATGTGTGTTTGATTTGAAGAACATTGCCCTTTTATGTTTTACATAATTGATATAGTGTTTGAATGTTTGAACGATACAATGTATGAGAAGTTGTGTTTTTACATATTTCAAAGTGGCAATAGAAATGGTGTATTAAGTAGTCATGATTAAAAATTCAATTTAGTGGTTGTGGCTTTTCATCTTTCAAGATTATTATTTGAATGATTTGAATGACATTAAAATTAAAATTAAATAAAAATGTAACAAAAAATGTAATATGTTAACGCGTCAGTGTCATACCTCAAATTTGTCCGTCTCGGTGCTACAGTCAAAATTATTTTCAAAATTTAGTTTTAAAAATCTTTTGGTTCGTTTACACTAACATTCTTTGGTTTTTATAAATATTCATTTTTAAATTATTTTGCTTATTTAAAAATATACATAATAATTTATTTGTATTTTTTAAATTAACAAATGCTTGCTCGTCTTCATATACTTTCAATTGAGTTTTTATTTCAAATAAGTAACACTATAATTGGTAAGGAAGTAGAGCTTGCATGTATGACATCATGAGTTTGAATCTCACTTTGTGCACTTTGGATATTTTTTTTCTTCTTTTTATTGTTACTAACTTTAATTTCATTTTTATTTATATTTAATTAAAAAAATCAAAAAAATATTGCATTATTAATTTAATTTTTGTTTTTTTATTTATCATTTTTTAAATATATATATCTTTTCATTTAAACAATAATTTTATGCATTTTATAGTAAAAAATCTAAATAAAGAAAGTTTTAATTTTGATTTGTTATTTTTAGCATTAACTTTGTGAGCAAGCAAATTAACTTAGGAAACATCCAATCTAATTAAATAAAAATATTTGAAATCTAGAATTAATTTTGGGGCTTTAATTATTTTATTCAATTATTGAATCAATTTAATTTATTTCTTATTTTAATTAACCTAATTTCTAGTATAAATAGAGCTAATTTCTACACATTAAAGAGGATGTCATTTTTTCACACAATTCCATTACATCCAATTGCTATCTCTCTCCACGTTTTGATTTCACAGTAAAGAAACAAAACCAAATTACCTCACAAATTCATATCAATATACAAAATAAAGTCCATACACTACTATTTTCAACAACACCAACAATCTACAGGCTATTCAATAGAAAATCGAAGAGGAGGAGAAACAATTGTTACAAAGAGAACAGAAGAAAATAAGAAGAAGAATAAGCTGAGATCTGGGTTTCGAATTCTGAAACCCTAGATTGGTGTCTGTTGTCGCCTTCAAGCCCTTCAATCTTCATCCGCTGCGCCTCTATCATTATCATCGTCTCCATCTCTCGTACCTGCAAATAGTAAGAAGAAAAACGAGATTAGCGAAGAGATCAAGCATCAGAACGAACGGAAAATATATCGAAGGTAATCTCAAAACTTAGCTTAGGATTTCTAAATGTTGATCTTTACTGTGATCTGGGTTTAAGGTGCGGATCGCCACCGCTTCAGGTCGCTACCTCCCAGATTCACTTCCTAACTAAAAGACATATCCCCTACTATTTGGGCTCCAATTTTCTCTTGGGCCTAAATATCTTTCCGATACACCTCCAATTTTAATATTTACACCCCACGCTTGAATTAATTAATTTTATTTATTAATTTTTCTTAACATTATTTTTTTCTTATTTTGTTTAATTTATTTAATTATCGTACTTTTTTTTAACATTTGCATTAAATATATTTTTGCATTTAAAATCATTAATAAGTAATTATTGCATTCTTATTTAAAATATCTAACAGATTTTTAAGTAATTATTCATTAATCTTTCTAAAAAATACTAACCTTTCTTTAATTACATTAAATATTTTTCTTATGCATTAAAATATATTTTCTCATATTGAATAATATATTCGAAAACATCTAACCAATCAAAAACTAACTTTTTCTTACTAACATAATTCAAACTTATATATTTTCAAAAAGGATTATGAAAATTTCTTTTATCGACTGCGAACATCGTCTATAAATTCCGCTATTCACACACCCAGATTTGGTTCAAGGAGAATTTGAGATACTCCATAATCCATAAAAAAACTAACTAAACAACTGCGAACTACGAATTGAGACTTTATTCCTCATAAGAGGATACGTAGGCATATGACTTAAAATCGTGGCGAATTCTCCTAATTAAAAATTAAAATCCTATTTCCTAAAAATTGCAATTCTAAACCCTAGTATCCTTGTGAACAAAGTAGATGAGGGGTGCCTATCACCTTCCCTTCGTCTAAAGACGAGTCAACAACTTAGAATCTCTATCAAAATTAGGGTTATTCGTTATATTCTCTTCCTTATAATAAAATTAATGACAATGACTCTTATTTTCAAACCGGTTATAACAATTGGCGACTCTGCTGGGGACTCAATCCTACGGTTTAGAAACCTTTTCTTTTGTTTTAGGGTTTTTTAGGGTTTTTTTTATTCTTCTATTTTCACTTTATTTATTTATTTATTTATTGTTGTTTATTATTATATTTTCATCTTTTTTCATTTGCTGGTGGAATTTTATTTCAAAAAAATTTATTTTCAAAAAACCTTATAAAGAAGGTTCGTCTATTGGCCAAGGGGATACATCATCCCTATGAGTTTTTGTGACGACTTCTCCTACAGTCGGTGGAATTCCAAAAAAGAAATATGTCTCAAGAGATATTTTCTTAGGGGGTAGGACTTTGGAACGAAAACTATAACTTTTGTATAAACCCTAAACTAAAAACTCATGGTGAGACCTTTCACGACCTTAGAGACGAAAGTTTCGGTCTGCAAAGAGGTCCTACTTAAGAGAGGCCCTTGTGCCTTTCCCTCTAGTGTTATCCATGATACCCTTAAGGAAACCGCCTTATGGGGAGGGTAGAATATCTGTAGGCGAAAATTAGGAACCTACCATCTAAGGATACCTTTTATGAAATCACGTCACTAAGCCACACAATCATGCATTCATGCATCTTACATTTCACATATTCATTATTCTCCACTCTTTTTTGTCTGTCTTATTCACAATATTAAAAAAATAAGTCAAAGAATTTGGTGAGTGTCTTAAAAGTTAATGCTAGAGAGAACAACTTGTCTGTGTTAGTGTTGTCAAGCCAGATGTGACAAAGATAATAATCATCAAGGAGAAACTGCATGAAAGAGCCATGAAGATGTTAGTGCTTCCAATAGTTGCTTTTTTGGTTCAATATTTTTCAATATATGAATTGTATTCCCTTTTGAGGATGGTTATTATTAATGAAAATACTTTTGTTTCCATATTCGAACTGCGTATTCGTTTCAAGATACTAACCAATAAAAAGAAAAATCTAGAAAAAATATATAAAGGAACCCAACGTGAATAAGGCAAAGGTCAAAAACTCTTAGTATATTCATATGCATCTATACATTCGGAAACATTTCATTTCATAACTTCATACAAAAAACTTATCATTTTTCAAAAACATTCTCCAGTTAAAACATCGGTAAGAAAGCACCACCTCTCCGACTACCATATCAAACAAGAGCCCATCAAAAAAGAGTGATGGAACAAATCGAGGAGAATCAACCCGTATTCAAGGAAGATTTATAGTAGGTGAAAGGAAACATCAACTCGATGAAGGGAGATATGAGCGAAGTTTTTCTAGCCTTGAAGAACATCATTGAGAGGCAAGAACAAATTCCTAGGGTAGCTTTTGAAGAAGTTGCCCAGACTATTGGTGCATCGAGCGGTTACCAACCAAGAAGAGAACCAGAGCCAGGACCCCAAAAGTCAACTATGGCTCAACAAGAAGTCAAGCAAGTGGATACTGAAGGATTTGTCCCACCTCCATCAAAGGTAAGGGCATCTCATGCTTTGCAGATCCCGGTCAATAATACAGATAACTATGCAGATCTACAATACTGAGATCTTGATTTAGAAGGTGTCACTCAAACACACCAACCCAAAATTATTGAGAATCCCTTGGCGCTTAATCAATATAAATCTCTAGAAGAAAGGTTGAAAGCTGTGGAGGGTTACGATGCTTTCAATTTTGACACTCTTGAAATGGGTCTAGTCCCATATGTGGTGATCCCTCCAAAATTCAAAGTACCTGAATTTGGAAAATATAAAGGGATCACATGTCTGAGGAACCATCTACGCATGTGTTGCAGAAAGATTCATGCATATGCTCAGGATCAGAAGCTGATGATCCATTACTTCCAAGAAAGTTTGAGTGGGGAATCCTTAGATTGGTACATGCAATTAGAGCAGATTCACATCCAGGAATGGACGGATCTTTCTAATGCTTTCTTGAGATAGTACACGTATAACTTAGACATGGCGCCTAATTGTATGAAACTCCAAAACCTGTCTTAGAAGAAGGAGGAATATTTCAAAGAGTATGCTCGAAGATGGAGGGAAATGGCAGCTCGTGTACAACCACCACTCTTGGAGAAATAACTATTCGATATGTTCATGGGAACTTTGCAAGGGTTGTACTATGACAAAATGGTAGGAAGCGTCACTTCTGGATTTTGGAATTTGGTGACTATTTGTGAAAGGATTGAAGCTGGTATAAAAAGTGGGAATATACAAGGGGCATCATCCAGTATCCCTTATAATTCAAAAAGACATGTTCCTAACTTCTCAAAAAAGAAGGAAGGAAAAGTCAATGATGTAGCATCGCATCCAAGGGCACAACAGCCATTGTTAAGTCCAAAAGAACATCAACAGAACAAGTTTGAAAGGCCTCAGAGAAGATTTGATCCTCTCCCCATGCCGCATAATCAATTATTACAACACTTAATGAAAGCATCTTTGGTAGAGCTAAATCCTCTAGCTCCTTCGATTGGGGCACTCCCACCAAAGTACAATGCAAATTCCAAATGCAAATATCATGCCAACTCTCTGGGGCATACCATAGAAAAATGTTGGGCCTTCACACATAAGGTTCAAGATTTGTTGGATTCTCAGGATATCACTTTTGACAAACCGAACATCAAGACAAACCCCATGCCTCCGAATGGT